AAAAAAAAAAACAAAAAAAAAAAACAACTAACTTTAAGGTTTATTTTTGTTCTACTCCAACAGTTCTTCTAGCTGTACAGAAAAAGAAAAAAAATTTTAATTTTTTAACTTTTTTCAACAGGGGAAACAACATATTCCCTGGGGAAAGGTGAGGGGTTGAGAAGACAGGCCCTGGGTAAAAATTCTTGTGACAGCACCTGGAGTTGATAGGCCTGCCTAGGAGAGAACACACACACTGGCACACCAACACAGGGGACAGCTGCTCTCTGGGTTCAGCTGACCAGTTCACACACCACGAAAGGTTTCTATAGATCTAAGACATAAAATTCTTCATCACGAAACACGTCCCGCTCATCTTCAGAGTCTGTCGGTTCATCCTCCCCACCTGCAGACGAAAGCATAAGCAACATCTCGCCCAGCTCAAAGGTGACAGCCTCTTCATTGTTGTTAACGGGGTTGCTGTTTGCTCCTTCCTCAAATAATTCCCAGAAGCTGTTGCTTCCTTGGGCCTGGTTTCTGCTTGATGCTTCCACTTTCTCTTTCTGTGGCTCCTCTCTACGGCCATCAGGGTACACATGCTTGTAAAAACAGTTCCCTCCAAATGGGCAGCTCCCACGTCCTTCATCAAAATACCTGCATGCCTTGTTGCTCATTGCCTCCTTGTATTTCTGAATGAGTTTCTCCTTCTCTTCTTTCTCCTCCACCCAGTACTCACTTGGAATGACAAAATTAGATGTGATTCGGCATTGTGGGCAGGATTTTACGATCTTGCTCTCAAATTCTTCAGCACTCCTCCACTTGCGAATGCACTTGAGACAGTAGGTGTGGTTGCAGTTGGAGAGGATCCCGAAGCGGCACTCGCTGGGGTTGTCTTTCTGATAGACCACCTCCATGCAGATCCCACACACCATATCCTTGCTGCGCTGCACAGCAAACGAGAGCTCCATGTCCTTCTCATGGGCCTCGATGCACGATTTTATATGCTGTGATCTCTGGGAAGCATCCATTGGATGCAGGACCTGCAGCCCACACATGTCACATGATTCTCCGTGGAGATACACACAGTTCTCCCCATATCGGCACTGTCCCACTGCAGCATAGGGGCACAGCTGCTTTTTTGTTTCCACGTCGGTTTGCTCTTTCTCTGATTCTTCGTTGGTCACTGAGCCCTGCAGGGGTGCTTCAGTGCAGACAGGCACAGTACGGCCACAGTAGGGTTGCCCAGGAACAAACTCAATAGCATTCACCCAGTCCTCTGAGCCTGGTCCTATAGTTGCAAAGTTTGAATTTCCTGACTCCCCTTCACCTGTATTAATTTCAACAAGTGGTCCAACTATCGATGAGAGACTTGAGGAAGCAGCAAGTGATGACTTTGTAGTTAGCTCTGTAAAGGTTGCTTCTTCCTGTTTCAGTGGTTTGCTATGCTCATATCCGCAGCGGTCTCCATAAAAACAGTACCCTTGGTGAAAATACTTGCACACTACACTATGCGGACTCTCAGAGAGGTCATGAGAATAGCGACAGTTATCGCCTTCCTTACAAGCCCCATGCATAAAATACCTGCAGGTGACCTGTTTAGTCCAGCTGTCGTCGCTGGCGCTGCTGGCGCCGCGGGCGCCATTGGGTCCGCGGGCGCCATTGGAACTGCTGGCGCCCCGGGCGCCATTGGGGCCGCTGCCGTAGCTGGGGCCGCTGCCGTGGCTGCCGCCGCTGCCGTGGCTGCCGCCGCTGCCGTGGCTGCCGCCGCTGCCCCCGCCCCCTCTGTCCGTCCTCGGATACAGAGCGGTGACTGTGGGGATCGGTGTGGGGAAGGACGCGGCTGCCTCCTCCTCCGCCGCTGCTGCTCCTGATATTGTGGCTGTTGTTTCGGGAGCTGCAGCCTCCGCCATTACTGCTTATCCCACACCCCAAAAGCCACGGAACGCCCCGGAACTTCCGAGGTCACATAGTTCCAAAGGCCCCGGAACTTCCGGGATCACATAGTTCCGGTCGGGGTGCGAGGAGAAAATGGCGGGGACAGGCGAGGGGAGGGGAAGGGGACTGCGGCACCCTCTCGGTTCCCGCCGGCTCCGCCTCTTTTTGTTTAAGAGAGATTTTCTTCTCCTTCTTCTGTGTGTAGCCTTTGTTGAGAGACAATTCTCCATAGGTCTCGTGTGTTTGCACATCTTGCAAATAAGGAACTGTACGGTCCTTTGTTCTGGACTATCTTTTGTATAGAGTGCATCCTTGAAAGACAGAGGTATTGTCTCCCTCCAAAGAAAACGGCAGGCATACTTACTGTCTGGCATAGTAAGACAGTGAGGGGGAGGGGACAAGCTGGAAAGTCCCACACCTCATTGGAACCAAGAAAACGGCAGGCATGCTTACTGTCTGGCATAGTAAGACAGTAAGGGGGAGGGGACAAGCTGGAAAGTCCCACACTTCATTAGAACCAAGAGGCAATGAGAAACTCCCTCAAGATAGAGGGGCCGGGAAGGGCGACAGCCGGCGGTGCCAGCCTCCCGGGCCAGCCTACACCCACGTCCGGGGACCCGGGGTCAGGCGGCCGGGAGGGGGCCCCTCGCACAGCCGCCTGGTAGCGGCTGCGGCGCCTGTAGGACCAGCTGGCCGCCCGCACCGCGCCCTTCCGCGCCCGCCTGGCGTCACTAGAGGGAGACGCCGCGCGGTCAGTGGTGGACGCGCTGCTGGAGCCGGTGGCGCGTTTCTGGGAACAGCTGCGGCGGCAGAAGGGCGGCACCGCGGACGCCCAGATGTGCCAGGAAATCGAGAGGCTTACTGAGAGACTAGAATTAAAAGAAAGGGAGATGCAGCAGCTGCTGAGCCAGCCACAGCAGGAGCAAGAGAAGGAAGTTGTCCTGCTATGGAGGAGGACCGCGGAGGGGGAACGGGCCTCGGCCACCAGTGACGTTCTGTGCCCCCCCCCACCCCCTGCCAACGAGACCCACCAGCTGTGGAGGACGCTGACCGCCACTGCCCACATGTGTCATCATCTGGCCAAGTGTCTGGATGAACAACAGCATGCGCAAAGGAACGTGGGGGAGAGGAGTCCTGAAAGTTAGAACATAAAGATAGGGATACCTCTGTCCAGTGTGTTACTGAGAAGTTACAGGAAGAAAATCGACTGTTAAAACAGAAGGTGACTCACGTTGAAGACCTCAATGCCAAGAGGCAGTGTTAGGATGCCAGCAGGGATGAATACGTGAGGGGGCTCCATGCACAGTTCAGGGGGCTGTAGACACCCTCCATGAGCCCGAGCTGATGAGGAAGATCTCCCGGCTCAATAGACACTTGGAAGAGAAAATAAACGACTGTGCAGACGTGAAGCAGGAGCACGTGGCCTAGAGGACAGCCCGGGATGCTGCGCTGGAGTGGGCGCAGCTGCTGGAACAGCAGATTCTTGCTTACAAGCATGACTTCATGTCAGAAAGGGCAGATCAGGACAGACTTAAAGTAGGATTTAGGAACTGGAGGAAAAGGTGACCTCTTTGCTGCACCAGGTGTCCTGGAGACAAGATTCTCAAGAGCCGGACACCTGCCGGATTCACGCTGAAAGCAAAACTGCCAAGTACTTGGCCACCAATGCACTGGAGCTTATGGCTGGAGGCATGGGACTGCGTCCCAGCAGTTGGAAACCCCTGCAGAGGGCGGGCATCCTGGGCAGCCCAGAGAGACCAGGGGGAACTTCAGTGCTCTCACTGCCTGCAGTGCTTTAGTGATGAGCGAGGTGAAGAGCTCCTCAGGCACGTGGCCGAGTGCTGCCAGTGACCGAGATTCCACCCATGCATGCCCTTGCCACTCCCTGGCCCAGCGCAGCTGCCCTCAGGGATAGGGTGGGTGCTCTCAACTCCATGGATTAAGTTCTACTGAGATCCAAGGCTCGTAAAATAGGTGTGGGGCACTGTGATCATTTGGTACCCCTTTGGCTATGGAACAGGCTGGGTCACAGGGAACTGCCAGTGAGGCTAGAGGCTGGAGGTGGAGATGGGGTCAGAAACATCTGGCAGAGGGAGGTCCCAGTCTTGTGTCTCCATCAGGCTGAAGCCAGCGATCTGATGCTGGCATGCCAGCCCTCCCCTGCCTGCACCTGGGAATGCCGCAGCTTGCCAGAAAGGGGTGGCTGCCTGTGGGAGCCACTCATACGGTCCCCTGGGTGGAAGCCCATCCTCTTCTACGGGATAAGGTGTCTCCTCTCTGCCTGGAACCGGGAGGTTTGCCACATGGAGTATTGCGGCTGTGCGTCACACTAGGGCCACCCGCCATCACAGAGCCACATGTCTACACTGCAAAACAGCATCGAATAGCATGTGTCGCATATCCAGAACTTAAAGCACACTTATTTTGTTCTGCCTATTTTTATAATAAATGTTCTTGCTACTGTGAAAAAAAAAAGAGAGGCAAGTGAGAAATGGCTGTGTGGCAGCTCCTCACAAGACTGCCTATCCTCCATGCCTTCTGCAGAAGGATCACAGGGCCTTCTGCCACGGCATGGATCAGCTTGCAGTTGAGCCTTGCCTACATGGCCTATGAGGATATATGCACAGTTTTTAGGGCACCAGCACAGAGGAGTTCCCCTGTATAATTGGGGCTCAAGAAACTGAGGCCAAAATGTTGAAATCTGGTGACTGGCCTTTCAGAGTTCAGAGTGCTGACCCAGGAGTCTCATATTTTCTACCAGATTCCATGAAACTAGTGGGGTGACTTGTTAGCTTGTGAGTAGGGCAAAATCTCAGACCTTTTTCAGTTCTTGACAGCTTTAGTGAGGAGGGTGGGATACTGACAGAGACATGGCTTTCTAGAAAGAGAAGGATGAGGATGTTGTGGGTAAATTTAATGAAATTTGAGGGCCAGACATGGTGGCTCACACCTGTAATCCCAGCAATTTGGGAGGCCGATGCAAGCGGATTGCTTAAGCTCAGGAGTTTGAGACCAGCCTAGGCAACATGGCAAAACCCCGTTTCTACTAAAAATACAAAAATTAGCTGGACATGGTGGCATGCGCTTGTGGTCCCAGCTACTGAGGAGGCTGAGGTGGGAGAGTCTCTGGAGCCCGGGAAGTCGAGGCTGCAGTGAGCCAAGAGTGCGCCACTGCACTCCAGCCTGCGCGACAGATCAAGACCGTTTCAAAAAAGAAAGAAAAGTAAAAAGAAATTTGACGAAAGTCCCTGAAATATGTTGACCAAATTATCTGCTCAATCAGTCTGTAAATAGTTCTTCACTTTATTGTCTGTTAATGATGGGGATTGAAAAGGTGGATACAGGCTGAGTACCAGGAAGCAGGTTCCAAAACCCCTGCCCAAATGGTGCCCTGGTTCTTCCTAATTCTACTGCAGGTGTAGAACTTCCTGAACAATTTGGAGTTAGCCTCAGATCTGCCCCACTGTAACAACTAGTACTGGGTATTGTCTGGTGTGCATAAAAGATTCTGCCTTCTTTTAGACAACAATTGCAGAGATGTGTGGAAGGAGGGAAATTCATGACCACTATGGGCAGAAACCAGGCACGTCATTAGAAGCCTGGCTGGTTCTGTTGGGAGATGAGGAAGTAGGGCTAGTAATGCTTGTCAAGGAAGAAAGGCAACATAAATTGGGTCTTATGGCTCAGCTCCTCCTGTGGTCCATCATGTCTGCCTTAGATCCACTAGGAGAGAACAATAAAAGGTCTTAGAGGGTTTTTTTTGCAATAGATCCTGGCTGCAATAAGGGAGCTATGGGCCTTTCAGGGAGATTACCCTGAGACAGACCAACTCCTATGGGAAACCATAGATGAGGCATTGAGTAGTATTCAGGCTCTTACTGCCTTGAATTGGGTTTACAATACGGGCAAAGGTGGCCCACTGGAGAATGAGAAACTGACCCAATTAAACCTAGGTAGGTGCTGCTGCCCTGGAAAACTTCCCTTATGTTGAAACCAGGTGAGAACATAAGAAACGTTATCTTGGGCCGGGCGTGGTGGCTCACACCTGTAATCCAAGCACTTTGGAGGCCAAGGCGGGTGGATCACCTAAGGTCGGGAGTTCAAGACCAGCCTGACCAACATGGTGAAACCCCGTCTTAAAAAAATAAATAAATAAATAAATAAAAGAAACAGTATCTTGGTGATGGGTTAGCAGAGGCCCTGAATTAAAGTGGAATTCTAAAGAAGGTTGCTGCTGTGCAAGTCTGGCCCACATCAGCCTGGGGTCACAAACCCAATAGCTTCAGCCAGAAAACCATACAGCTGTGACTGAGTGAAGGGGTCTCGAAAGCTGAAATTGTTGGTGTTAACCATCAGGATCTCTGCCCAGTCAGCATAAAGTGTGAGTAGGGAAAAAACACTGAAAGTTTTTTTTGGTTGCACCATAAGCTGCTGCCACATTACCTAAATGCAAAGCTTTTTTATTTAATAGCTCAGAACCACTCTCTCCCTCCATATCCCTGATCCCTCCCTCCCTCTCTACCCCAACCTCAGCTACTTTAAAAGGAAAGATTATTAGATTTTCCTTACCCTAAAGAGAATTGAAAACCATATCCACTCATCAAAGGAGAATTTGGGGAAAGTGAGGAATTCAAACTTTATGGCTTTGTTGAATATAGGTGCCCAAGTCACTATCCTACCCAGACTTGAGGAAGGCAAAAGCCCTCAGATCCAGCTAATGGTGCTGAGGGAAGAAGGAAATCTAAATTGTGGGTAGGGTCCATTAGGCCAATTCAATGTACTGTGGTTGTTACTTCTGCATCTGAATGTACAGTAGGAATTGATGTATCCCCATCCCATAAGTGCCAGGGTTGGGTGAGGGGAGATTTTCAGTATTCAGAAGAGTGGCATATAGAGAATTGGTTTTTTGTTTTGTTTTGTTTTTTTAATAGAGATGGGGTTTCACCATGTTGGTCAGGCTGGTCTCGAAATCCTG